ACCGCGAGGGCCGTTCTGATCTATGGTAGTGAAACTTGGCCACTTCGGTGGGAAGATCTGAGGCGCCTTCAAGTCTTTGACCATTGTTGTCTGCGAAGCATTGCTGGTGTCAAATGGGACAAGCGTGTCCGCAACGATACTGTGCGTAGGCGAGTACTAAGTAGTGATAATCATGCTAGCACTGAATAAGTTGCGTTGACTCGGACACGTGCTACGTATGCCTGGTCACCGCTTACCTAGAAGGGCCTTGTTTAGTCTGCCAAGTGTTGGGTGGTGCAAGGTTCGAGGTGGACATAATTTGACTTGGCAACGGAAAATGAAGTTACTGACGACCAAACTGGGCGCCGTTGGCCCGTCTCGCCTTCCGGGCTGGAGTCCACGTGACTCGCCTTGTGCTTGGCTCGAGACTTTACAGGACATGGTTAGCCACCGACACCAGCAGCGCGTCTGCTGCTGTCTCCTAATCGGATTGCCTGTTTAAAGTGTGTTTGGTGCTGAGTTCTCTGCGGGGTAATGGCTGATTATGACGCGGGCAGTGGAAGCCGCAAAGAAGCTGTCTCGCCGATGCCGCCTTATCCTTGCACGACAGCCAGCTGTTTGACGATATGTTATCTACACATAGTGTAGGCGCCTTGACTCTGAATATTTGCTTAGGGCATTTTGGTTTTCCGGTAAGTCCCCCTTCTCTCCCTCTTATTATTATTTCATAGGTCATCATGGTTGTATGGCAGTGAATCATCAGTTCAAAGGGCTGATGTACTGCAGTTGTTGATGCTGTTGATGAATCGATCATGGCAGTTTCAACTTGGTGACTCAAAGCAATGCCCACACCGACTATACCGGCATTTGAAGCCGCGTCATGTCCGGACAAGCGCACACGTCGGGCATCGCAAGGTAAACACAGAGGTCGAATCTTGCATGTGGCAGATATCGATTGGTAAAGTCTCCAGTGTTCGGCAAAGGAATGCGTGCTGGCCAACCTGTCAGTCTTAGGTAGGATCGGCATATCCAAATAGAAGCAGATGAACTGACATCTGTTTGACTGGACAAGGACTTGTCAACCAGACCGGAGCGACGCACTGCGATTGCGTGTGGTTCGAAACTAGAATGTAAACGATTGCTAAACATAGATGGGGGATGGTAAAGAATTGTGGGGGTTGAAAATAGGCGGATGAAAGTGAAAATAGAATGGGATGATAAGGATGAAAATACGCAAGAGAGGGAAGAAAACGAGAAGGCTTGAGAAGCAGCAGCCGAACCCCTATCCGCGCCGGTGATTATCCTCTACGACAGTCAGAGCATTAAAGAAGTGTTTGAAGGGTAAGTCAGCCGTTTCGTGCATGTGGACCTTTGGTACAGCACACCCGCGGTTAACACGTAATGACTCCGTGTCTACCGGTCAGGAATGTAAGGAGTTGTTGAAAAGCAGCAGCTCACGTCATGTGAAGCTAATCCCTTACCACGCAGTTTCCAACGCACTAATTGGAACTGCAGTTTGAAAGGCCAACAGATCACGAAAAGAACAGTCGGCTCCGGTGCGAACAAAGATAATTTTAGGTCACCGCTCAACACCACAGGAAACGACTGGTAAGAAGCTCAGTGAGGTGGTGTTCGGAAGGAGATTAAGGACGCGACTAGACTTGCTAATTCCAGATAAGAGTCCACGTGGCCAGACCAAACGATACAAATCTAAGAGCGAGCATGACCGGAGAGCCAACGAGTAACAGCTCTGGGTGAATGAACCAGTTTACGTCAATTTGCCTAGTAAAACGAGCTGACAGTCTGGAAAGCTGCGCGAAATTGAAAGGCAAAATAAGGAAGTGGCTCTACTAGACGACGGAGCAGGCACCCGGCACAGACTATGTGCATCACCACTCCATTTCTGTCCCACCAGTCGACACACTGGCAAGTTTATTCGGTGTTGGAAGACGCACAGAATCCCAATCAGCTGGAGGTTCCACAATGTGACGACTCAAGCCGACCAGTCAATCGATACAAGAATAGTTGGGGTAGCTGCAACTTTGTGGAACTGGAATGTGCAATCTGCGTACAAAGAGTTCGCCTATTTCCAGTTCTGCTCTTATTGGGTACAAGGCTAGGCCAATTACTGACTGAACTGTGTTCACTTGTTTCCTATTGTCTGTGCTTTTCGGTGTCAGACGTGTGTTTAAAGCCCAAGTAATCATCCAGTGAACTGAGTTCAAATGCGTAAAGCGTTGCATTTAATAAGTCAATAATTTTCTTCGTACTGTAAGAAGTGGCGTGTTCTGTTGCCATGTGCTACAAGCCGAATACCACGTTGTGCAGAAACTGTAGTTCCACAAGCTGTAGCAATATTGACTCACAGCGCCCTCAAAGTAAGCACAAAAAGAAGAGGAATGTACTTAAGAAAATAATGGGTGATGGTGCACCTACACGACAGTTCATTGGAATCATTGGAATGTAGAGAGCAGAAAGACCACGATCTCATTATTTAGCTTTATATAATTTCTCATAGTATTTTTTGGTTCACAGTAGCCGACCGGAACGATGCCCATCATCATTATCATCATCATCATTACACGTTAGCTGGAGGTGGAAAACACCTCAGCTATTGTGCCGCAATACAAAAGGCAAGAAAACAAACAAACAAACAAACAGTGGCACGCCCGCTGAGTCCCCAGTAACGGATAGACATCGTTCCGGAGAGCTAACAGCTGGCTGCCGTAAAAGAAAGTCATCCGTTACCGGTAGCTCAGCCGGCTTACACCAGCTGCTTTTTTCTCCTTTCTTCTGTGTATTGCGGCACAGTAGCTGAGGTGTTCCGCCTCTAGCTAACGTGTATGATGATGATGATGAGAGAGCAGAAAGAAAGACCTTTGCCAGCTCCATCACCTCCCAATCATAGCAGATGTTGGTGCAACAGCAATCAACAAGTTAGATTGTCACAGTTGCATAAGAACAACAAGATCCCTGCAAATTCAACAAGTATAGGTCCAACAATCGTTTAAAACATTCCTCAGTATGCGCGTTGACGATGGAATCAGGCGAGGAGTTCCAGTCATTCACCACACGAGTCGATAGGGTAAAATCAGAGCGAAGCCTGAGTCTCCTAGATTTAAACAGTTTCCAGCAGTGGCCCCGAGTCGAACACTCAGTGTTAATCTGGAAGAAATCTTGGAGCTCGATTCCCCTCTCGCCTTGCAGAATGCGCCGAGCGTAGATCAGATCGCCTCGGCGACGCCGATATGCCAGAGATAACATATTCAAGTGCTGGAGACGGGTATGATATGGCAGGTGTCGGAGCTCAAAGATGTGTATAGAACCACATCGCTGAAGTTTCTCAATCAAGCTATGTTCAAACTTTGTAAGCGGATGAACTGCGGGTAATCAATATTCGAGCATTGGAAGCACATGGGAGGAAAAAACAAATCTGAAGATCTCCGGCGTCAATCGTGAGAACGCTCTTCGGATAGAGCACAGTAGTCTGTTAGCCGCGGCAACCTTCCTCAAAGTATCTTGGGTGGTTTTTAGGTCAGAGCATACAATAACACCAAGGTCTCTTTCCTGTTTCACATTATTAAACAAATAATCACCAAGGTGGTAACCACCGAATGATTCAGCAGCACCAATGGGGAGTACAGAACATTTATCGCGGTTTATAGGCAACTGTCATTTACTTGACCAATCATGCAGCCGATCCAGTGTATTTTGGAGTCGGTCCGCATCCTCAGCGCTGGTTACCTCCAACCATAACTTTAAATCGTCAGCACAGATCAAGCATTCGGTCCAGAGAGTTGAAGGAACGTCGTTACTAAAGAATTTAAACAACTCTGGCCCGAGAACAGAGCCCTGAGGAACGCCAGTTCTCATAAAAACGGGGGCTGAATACGTATCATTGACCTTAACTCGCATAACTTGGTCTGAAAGGTAATCAGAGATCCACGACACAACCCTCCCAGAGACACCAATTCCTTGAAGTTTGAACAAAAGCCGCTCATGAGGAACTTTGTCAAACGCTTTGCTGACATCAACGTACATAACGTCCATACGTTTGCCTGCATCCAGTGCGTTCGCCCACCTCTCTGCGGCAACTAGCAAATTGGTGGTACACGAGCGTGACTTACGAAAACCATGCTGAGCAGTGGAAATCACACTCCAGTCGTCGAAGGCTGAGAGCGCCCTTGGGAATACGTTAATTTTAAACATTACTGATGTTAGGCAAACAGGACGATAGTTTGCTGGGTCTTGGCGATGCCCTCCTTTATATATGGGCTTGAAAATGCCCCGCTTCCAGGCTGATGGAAGTCATCCGGATTCAATAGAGCAACGAAACACATGACAAGCTGGGGCTGCAATGTACTTAGCCACGGTCTTGAAAAACAGAGGGTGCAGGCCATCAGAACTAGGCGACGTGCTCGGATCTAACTGGAGAAGGAACAGTAACAGTTTCCGTACTGATCTCAAGATGATGCAGTAAAGATGAGCACGGGAGTACTACGTCAGAAAACAGTTTCATTTGCAAAAACGGATGAATACTGTTGAGTTAAGAGATCCGTTTTCGCAGCATCCTCATGAAGTAAGGCAGCGTGTTTAGTGGAATACAGAGATGGAATGTCATTATCACATTTGGTGCCCCTTTTCAGATATGAGAACATTTTTGGGGAACACCTGGACTGCACAGCCAATTGAAAGTTAATATATCAGAAAAGTCAGAAAGCACAATAAAAATGTTTGGAAACCGTAAGAGCGGTCAAAATACATAGGGAAATAGAGAGCCGCGAATAGGAAGACCAAAACTGCCACAAGAAAAAACACGTCCAGTTATTAGCTGCAGTAAATCCAGACTAGAAAATCACTAAATCATAGGCAAGAATTAAATATCGTACTAATATCAACTATTCAACCAACGCTTCATGGGCACGAAAGGAAAATACATCATTGTGCTATGATGTGGTTTCATTTGGTCGCGGGCGAAAATATATCCCTCATTCAACAAGGAAACAGAGCTACGACCATACCTTCGTTTGATTTCATATTTGTACGGCTCCAACCAGGGATCTAATTCAAGTAGTTTAGCAAATTCTGGTATTTGGACTGCGTCTATCTCTTCCGGTCTGTAGAACATCACCAGGAACGCACACCACGCCTGCTCCGGACGGGGATTCTAACCAACCAGTTACGGCGCTGGTCACTAGTGGCACAGCAAACTGTGTGAATCCAAGATGGCAAAGCTATCCGATTGGCTGCACGAACGTGATTGGAATTGCGTGGAGGTGTGTACTTTTTTGCCCGCTTAACCTGAAAATTGGTGTTTGAATGCACCAATACGAGGGTTTTTATTGGTAACCGTTGGCACCAAAATGAGGGACGTTAATAAATGTGGAAGACGAGGAGCTACAATCTGGTGGGTAAAAACCACGCATTATTATTTTTCCTTCATTGGAAAAGGAAGCAGTAAGCTGATATTTCGCTGTCGACTGAGAATAGCTTATTGACAGTCAACTTTAATAGTCGCAATTCATGTTCGAATCTTCTTCGCCGTTTTCTTCTGCCACGGTTCAGGTGGCACGATAATATATAGTCAAGAAGACAGTCTATTCATTGAATCATACCGGTAGAATCATTTTCGCATGGAGAAGAAGATCTTGATCGATATTCTGGGAATTGATGTGGCCGTAATATGATCCGTAGAAGGGTAATGGAGGGTGACAGTTAACAGTGAAATGTCAAGTAATGAAAGTAGTAACTAGCTGTTTAAACACAGGTAGATATACCGGTTCACGACTCTCTACTACTCAATGAACACAAGGATTAGTTGCACTAACAGTTGGAAAATCAACCGTCGTCCTGAGCCGAATACATAAAGCTATCCGTAAATGTAAAGGTAATGAATGCTGTACGGGAGGTAAAATTCAGATTCAGATACAGATGGACTGGAACGATAGGACTAGGATAGGAGTGTTCCTTCTTGAGCAAACCGTTGAGCTAGGAAATGATAACGTGTTAGGTCTCGATAGATTTAAAACATAACACCCGAAACACACCCTGGTCAACAAATTATTGCCCACGTTCACTGCACTAGCAGTCCCCGCTGTTTAGGTTGCATGAAGTAAGGAATAAGTAGGAAGTAAATGGGAGCTAAAGGGGCATGAAAGTCATTTAAATGAAGGATAACTCCAAAGAGCGAAGAGAATGACAGAATAAAAACTAAAGTTTGAAGATGGATATGTGCAGGAGAAGGGAAAGATTTCGTGTTGCCATCCAAGAGCGTCTAACTGACGCTCGAAAGGCTTAACCGTAGGTTCCCTGACAACACTTTCTGGAAGCGATTTTCAGCACTCGATAACTCTACACGATAATCGAATTGCCGCCCTGATCCGGTCAGAACGCGGCTTGTTTAGCTTCATGGGGCCGAACGAAAGCTGAGAACAGCTCCACAAATATGTCGGCAGTTAGACGCGACTCAAGTCAGGCAGCCCCTGGTCAACTTGGTGTAAACCCGCCAAAACCCACCTGCGTCTAGCCGTGGTCGCAGGTGCGTATCCTATTACGGTCGCAAAACATATAATAAATGTTCCAGTACCTCAAAGGCTGCGTGTGACGGCCATCAGGCAGGTCCCCATCTGTCTCTGAAATCACATTGCCGAGGTGGATCTGCTCCCCACTGCCTTGTGGGTCAAGCTATTGAGCCAAAGGCTCCGGGTGGAGTCCCTCAACCATACCCCCAAACCACCCATTGTCTTGTGGGTAAGTCTATTGAGGCACAGGCTCCGGGCGGAGTCCCATAAGGAAACCTCCGAAGCACAACGACCACCTCGTGTGCGATTGCCCACCAATGCAATCGTATGCCTGCGCGTAGAGCACTCAGCATCGGGTAATGGAACGTGCGCACACTACTGGACCGGAACCCCAGCGAGCGCCCGGAGCGACGCATTGCACTCGTCGCGATGGAGGTGGCGCGCTACAACCTTGATATTGCGATGCTCAGCGAAACCCGGCTCGCTGAGCAAGGTAAGTTCCATGAAACAGGTGCTGGCTACACATTCTACTGGGTGGGCAACGCCGCCTCAGCACCACGTGAACATGGGGTCAGATTTGCAATATCCGATCGCCTCCATCGCCGGCTGGTGGGTGAACCAAGGGGCGTCAGCGCGCCACTGATGACCGTTCGTCTACGACTCGGAGGAGGTAAGTTTGCTAATTTTACAAACACGTACGGTCCGACCATGTGCTATCCTGATGACACGCGTGATCAATGCTACACTCGGCTATCCTCCGTGATACGGTCTGTGCCGAGGAGCGACTGACTATTTCTGCTGGGTGATTTCGACGCGCGCGTTGGGCGTGATGCATCGGTGCGGACAGATGTTATCGGTTCGCTTGGCATTGGTTCAGTGAATGCGAACGTTGCCAGGCTGCTCTCACTGTGTGCCACTCACGGCCTGACGATCACGAACATTCGGTTTGCACTGAGTGCGAGTGATATAGCAACTTGGACGCACCCACGGAGTGGTCACGCTCACCTGCTTGACCATGTCATCGTACGTCAGCGTGATATGCCTGATGTGCGCATGACACGTGCACTGCGTGGAGCTGAGTGTGGCACTGCTCACAAGTTGGTGCGGACCAAACTGCACATATATTTTCGTAAATCAATGTATTTCACGCCCGCCGTGATTCGGCGTAAATTTAACATTCTCTCCCTCGGTGCGGTGGCGAAACGTACTGAGCTGGCGAAGGCGATGGCTGCACGCTTGTGTGATGTGGACTGCATAGCCACAGTGGGCGACCTGTGGCACCACCTTCGCGACCAGGTGACAGCTGCTGCCGAGGAGACCATCGGGCGCGCAAACTGTAAGCGGCCTGATTGTTTTGATGAGAACAATGCGACGATCGGCGCATTGGTGTCGGAGAAGAATGCGGCATTTAGTGCACATGTTCTAGATCCCAGTGACTTGGGGAAGAGGAGTCAGTTTCGCAAACTTCGACTGCGGCTGACCCGAGAGCTCCGTCGCAATAAAATTGCACGGTGGACGGAGAAGGCGAAGCATATGGAATGCTACGCCGAACGCTGCCAACACAAGGAATTCTTTGACTCCTTGAAGGCGGTGTATAGACCGAGATTGGAGCCTCTGAGGACACTGATGGATGGTAGTTCAGGCGCTACCTGCACCCAGACTGCAGGCATTATGCAGATCTGGCGGAAACACTTTGACTGTCGCTTGAACAACCGTTCAGGGATCGACTGCCCTACATTGAATGGCCTGAAGCAGCACGATGTGAAGACGGATCTGACGGATGCGCCGAGACTGGATGAGACGCAGAGAGCACTTGCTCAGCTGCGAAACGACAAGTGTGACGGAGCCGACGGGATCCCGCCGGATGTATTGAAACACGGTGGACCCGCGTGGTTGACTGCGCTGCACCACTTCCTTCAACGTGTATGAATTGTTGAGGAAGTGCCTGTTGAGCTGAAGAATGTCCTTGTGCTACCACTGTACAAGGGCAAAGGTAGCAAGCATTGTTACATCAACTTGCTGAGTTGTGTGGGCAGGGTGATTGCCCGAATCCTGCGCAAACGCCTCGTGAGTCAGATTGTGGAACCTAACGCCGCTGAAGAGCAGTGTGGATTCCGTTCGGGTCGCAGCACTATAGATATGGTGTTTACGGCTCGTCAGTTGCAAGAGAAGTGCAGAGAACGACAGCAGTCATAGTGCTCGCTTTTTGTTGATTTCATCAAGCATTTGATACGGTGAACCGCGAGGCATGGTGCCTGGTGCTGGGTAAGTTTGGTTGCTCGTGTAAGCTTGTAAGTTTAATGGAATGTCTGCACAGTGGCATGCGAGCGAGGGTGCAGCTGAGTGGAGAGACCTCGGATGACTTTGCAGTTGTCTCTGGTGCGAAGCAAAGCTCCGTTTTAGCTCCTGCCCTGTTTAATATATATCTTCATGCAATGCTGTCTTGTGCTTTTGATGCGGCTTGTGCTTACGGTGTTCGTGTGGAGCACCGTATTGATGGTGGGTTGCTGAACATCCGTCGTTTCGGTGCGAGAACTCTAGTCTGTGAGACAAATATCCGTATGCCGCTGTTTGCTGACGACTGTGCTTTGGTTTCACACAGCGTGGATGAGTTGCAGCACATGACTAGTGCTCTGGCTTCGACAGCGGCCAAATTCGAGCTCACCATCAACACAAGCAAAACTGTCTGTCTCTTCCAGCCTTCACCGTGGGTGCAATCTTCAATATTGCCGCGAATCAGCATTGGTGCTGAAGTATTGGAAACCACCTCCCGCTTCAGCTACCTTGGGAGTGTGATGTCGACTGACCAGCAGCTACACGTTGAGTTGCGTAATCGCGTGTCGAAGGCGGCAGCGGCATTCGGGAAGCTTGAGTACCGAGTGTGGAACAACCATCAGCTTACCGTTGGCACGAAGCTGATGGTGTACAAATCCATGGTACTGTCCGTTCCTCTATACGGCAGTGAAACATGGACGATGTACCGTCGGGATGTGCGATATCTCCAACGGTTCCATCAGCAGTGTCTGCGACGAATTTTGCGCATCTGCTGGGGCGCCAGATTTGCAGACACGGAACGGTTGCGCCGAAGCGGGGTGTATGCAGTGGACTGCATACTTTTATTGAGACACCTGAGATGGCTCGGTCATGTGTGGCGCATGGATTCGACTCGGATACCGAAAAACTCTTATACGGTCAGCTGAGTATTGGGAAGCGGCACGTGGGGAAACCAAAGTTACGTTACCAGGACATGCTCAAAGTAAGCCTCACACGTTCTAATCTTGATTGTAGGTCATGCGAATCGAAGGCGATTGATCGGCGTGCATGGCGCGATCTAATCACGAAGGCAGTTGCTGAAGCGCGGGAGAAAGACCTCATGCATACAGAGAAGCAGCGGCAAGTTCGGAAGCGGCAAGCAACGATGGATTGCAGTTCATGGACATCGAGTGCATGGTGCTGTAGCACATGCGGTCGCTAGCGCCTGAGACAAGCGAGCCTAGTAAGCCATGAGCGAGGCCACTCAGGACTACTACCGAAGCGCCGACGGGTTCTGCAGAAAACGTTGGCAGAACAGTCGCAGCGTTCGTACGTACGCTGCATTAGATTTACTAACCGCGTGCTTGCTTGCCAATCTCTTTAATTCAGTTGGTGGGTCTTCAATTTTGCCTTAATGCTTTTCTTTCCCACATTAATGCCTAGTTATACTCTCTTCTATACACTTGCACACGTCGCATAAGCCACTTGTAGTTATTTCGATAACATTTTCGCGTTTA